TATTCAACATTTTCACCTGTTTTTGCAGACACTTCAATAACCGGGCATTTAAATCCATTTGAAAGTTTAAGTACTTCATCCTTTGGAATTGAATCTTCATTGTTTTCTTCTCGCAAATCTGAATTTAAACCTCCTAAAACAATGATTGGCCTTTCGCCAACGGAATACAGTATGCCATTATACATATTTCTAATATCATTAATTGTGTATGGATTGGAGATATCAAAAAAGAGCACAAAGCATTGAACTTGAGAATAATAAGAAAAACTCATTTCAGCAAAATCATCTTGGCTTGCTGCATCCAAAACATTTAAACGGATTAATCTATTTCCTACTGAAATAACTCTAGAAAACTCATCTTCTATGGTCGGGATATTTCCTTCAGAATAATCTCTTTTTAAAAACCTGATAATTACTGCGGTTTTGCCATAAAAGCCAAAACAACCAATTTTCAATTCGTTAAATTCATTAAAATTAAATTTTTGATTAGTTTCCTCTTCTTAATTGGGTTCTTCAATCATTTCTTTTGATATACTTTTTGTATTAACTCATTCAAAAAGTTAAATAATTGATAAATTTTTTCGATATCTTTATACAAAGCAAAGAAAATTATGAAATAAATATCTATTTATGATGAGTGCTGTTCGTATTTCTATGAATTGATATTTATATTTTCATTTACCTTCAAATTAAAAAACATTTATGATATTCTGCTTTTTTTTTTTTCAGCACTACAACAATACATTTTAATGACGTTTACAATTATTTATTCAATATATATTCAAATTTATATCAAGTTATAACAATTATTCTTATTGTAGGTAGCAAACATTACCTCTTTGAACACTGAATCTGATACAATATCTAAAACTGTTCAACAAGATAATCAAACATAATTTTCTGATCAAGAAATTCATAAATATATTGAAACTCAGAAAGAATTTTATGATAACCTTATTAATATTCATGGAAGATGTCGAAAATGATGAAAGATAATTTGGGAAAACTCCTAGAAATATCCAGCAAACAAGATGGAAAGAGATAAAAAAATAAATATTGTGTATATATACCATAATTCTATCTTTATAAAATTTTACATGGAATTTCTATTTTATATATTAAATTTTAAATTGATATAGCATCTCTTTGGCAACATTATATTTTTTATATTCTTCACAATTACGATCCATTGTAACAATGTTTTTCAAATCTATTAAATTGCATTTTTCGTTTAAATTTTTGACCAGAACCATCTTTTTAGTGTTCCAAAAAATGATCAATTTTTTATGATCATAAAAATTCACTTGAATGCTTTTATCGCTCATTTTGAAAAGAATTACATCATTCTTCTTCACAAAATTATTAACATAGAAAAGTGGGATTCCTGAGTCGTAAAACTCCTTTTCAATATTGTACAAATATTTGAATTTTTTGAAATTCTTAGCCAGTTTACGAACTACAGAAATTTTCGATTTTAATTTCGAATTTTGATTATCATCAAGAAAATCATCTAAGACAATCACTTCTTTATTTGAATTGAAGTTTTTATAATACTGAACGAATTCTTCGTTTGGATCCATCACAATTCTTGAATGATCGCTGAAACAAACTCCAACAGTTCCATCACCCAATAAAAATGCCATATCATCGTTATAAAAGCAATACTTTACGACATAATGATTTGGAATTACGAAGGTTTTTTTAGGATAAGCATTTAACCTGTTCATTTGATAATTTTCTTGTCCAAAATTGTTATCGAATTTTTTCAATGAATCGTCTGAAATTTTTGGCTTGACAATTTGTGCGTTATTGCTTGAATTTCTTAAGAAAAGTGGGCTGCAATGATTGTTATAGCAACCAATATTAAACAAGTTATTGTTATTGATTAGTGATGGAATTGATTTGATTTGTGTTGGCTTTCTTGGTATTGAAATAATTGGTTTGTATAATTGAACATTTTCATTATCAATTTTTTTCATAAATGGATGTCTAAGAAGCTCAATGGCTGTTGGTCTTTTCTTTGGATCAATTCTTAATATAGATCGAATGAAATCTACTGCTTCATATGAAAGTGGAACGTTGATAGGAAAACGATAATCACACTTTTTTATTCGTTCAAAAACACTCACTTTGTTGAACCCAAATGGCTGCTGTCCTGTCATCATAACAAACGCACAAACTCCAATGGCCCAAATATCAACTTCAAAGCTATGTCCTTTGTTCTCTTTTGAAACAGTCTCTGGGCTCATGTAATTCAATGTACCGGCAAATGAGCAAACTTTTTCACTGCTTGTTTTGAGAAGAGTTGAGATTCCAAAATCGGCAATTTTCACTCTTCCGTCAGCTCCAACTAAGAAGTTTTCGAGTTTGAGATCATGATGAATAATTCGTTGGCTGTGTAAATATACAAGACCTTGAATAACGTCTTTTAAAATTTTTCGAGTTTCTGATTCTGATAATCTGCCATTTTGACTTTTTCTTAGATATTCGCGTATCGACTGCCCTGGACAATATTCAAGAAGAATGTATTGATTCTCATTATCTGTGAACGATATTTTCGAGCTTACGACGTTTTGGTGGTTGAGCTTTTTCTGAATTTGGATTTCATTCTGGATTTTTTCTAAAAAAGACTTGTTGTTTGAGTATCTTTCTTTTGATATTACTTTCATTGCATATGACTTGTTCGTGCTTTGTTCTGTAACGCGATGAACAACAGCAAAACCTCCTCGACCTAATTCTTCATTGGTAATGTAAACCTCTCTCGTGCCATCTTCGCGTGGGCAAATAATTCTTGATGGAACATAGATTGTTGGCTGTGACATTGTTTTTAAAATATGAAGTGATTTTATCAAGAAATAATCAATACAAAATTTCAATATGAAAATTTTGAATGAATTTTTAAACGTGTATTTAAAAAAAACGTATATTATTCACTCAATTTGGTTATAAAATATATTTTATTATCTTTAAAAAAAGATAAACATAAGCATCCTTATAAAATACAACAAGATTTTTGCTTTTTGGTATCAATTTATATTTTCAAATATTACAATATTCATGATTTCATTCATTTTTTGCAAAATTATTATTTAATGCTTGGATGTTATTTCCTTGAATGAATATTTAGAAATTTGAATTTCTGCTATTTTCCTCAAAAAATAATTTAATTTTTCTTGAAATAACGAGTATAATTCAATTTTTCAATGATCCGATTAAAAAAATTCTTTTGATTCGTTGACGTTTGTTATCAAAATTTGAATATTAGAAAAATAATTAAATTCATAAAAATATGGTTATAATTAATATTTTGTAAAAATACTCATAGTTTAGTGTTAATTAATAAAGTAAGAGTTTTTCAAATTCTTCATTTTTGAGATCAATTAAATTTTGATAACTGAAAAAGAGGGAATTCGTACAATCATATTTAAGATATCAATTAGTATTTATAAAAATATAGATAAAAAAGCATTTTTTGTATGATTTATCCAAATAAAATGTTATCAAAAGAATATTTAAATTTATGAATTAATTATTGATGACAATTTTAAAAATTCGAAATCATCATCAAACTATCAAAGTTAATTAGTAATATTGGTTAAAAAGAAAATATAATAGTTAGTACATTTTTATAAATTAATTTTTTAATGATTTTGAAACATGAAATATCACAATGAGATGTTCCATTCACTTTAAAAAAATTTTATTTATGAAATTTTCAATACTTTATTTGACATCACTTTTATGATTGAAGATTTCAAAACAGTTATTGTGAAAAACCTCAATTATAATACCTGTAAGTGCCAAGTTAGAAAGCATTTTGAAAATGTTGGCGAAGTAGACACAATTGAAATAATCCACGATTGCAGAGGACGATCAAAAGGAGTTGCCTTTGTGACATTTGAATGTGAAAATGATGCAGGAAAGGCCGTTAAAACTCTACGTAATTCAGTACTTGATGGTGATACCCTTTTTGTTGATTATGAAAATATAAAAAAGAATACCAACAAGAGAAAATCATGAAAGAAATGAAGAAAATCATTTTATCCGTGAAAGGAAAGAAGGAAACACAAATCTCCCTGCATCCAATTTCATAATTTATGTTAAAAATCTAACAGGGAAACGTTTTGAATTGAATGCCAATCCTTATTATCGTATTGAAGAGGTCAAAGAAATGATACAAGACAAAGAAGGAATTCCTCCAGATCAACAATATTTAATTTATGCCGGCAGACCGCTTGAAGACGGAAACGATTTGATGGATTATGCAATAGGAAATAAATCAACCCTTCATTTAGTTCTTCGATTAAGTGGTGGAAAACCAGTGATTTATCTTTACCCAGAAAAAGACGACTTTGATGTTAGCGTTAATGTCAGCATGAAAAAAGAGGATGGCGAAATTACATCAATATATCCTCGCATAAAAGATGATGAAAGCAACACATGGATTGTCAAAGCAAATCGAAATGGGGAAATTGATTACAACAATAGAAAGCATTACTACCTCTTCTGGGAGTGCTTGTTCAATGAAAGTTTCAACATTGATGAAGGCTTCGTGATCAAAGGAGATCAGTGCTACCAATTTTTTGAAGAAAAACTCCAGTTCCTTGGATTTAAGGACAATGAAGCAAACGATTTCATCACTTACTGGTGCCCAAGGATGGAACATAGCAAATATGTTCTGATCAATTTTCAAGGCGAAGGGCTCCTTTGAAAATTGAACCAAATACAGATCGTATCATACGTATTTTTATGACATTCAAATTGCTTGATGAATTTATATCAATCCCAATTCAAGATATCGAAAAGTTCAAAATTGAAGATAGGAAAGGTTTCTTTGTTTTAGAGTGGGGAGGATCTCAAATTAAAGAGTAAAACTTTTTCTTTTAAAATTTTAATTGATGCTATTTTATTCAATATTTCGAAGAAAGGAGAAATGAGAAAGTAAAAAGCAAAAGCAAAATTTTTAAATAAAAGTAAAAGTAAAAGATAGCAATTGCATTGCTTGTTTAGCACAATGGTAATGCATTGCTTGCCGAATAGCGGCTGCCAGGTCGATATTTTCGATTTGATGCAGTCCAATTTGCCCGATCTAAGTTTACACTTAAAAATGGGAAGCAAGGACTGGTGGTTCGAGTCCACCAACAAGCATTTTTTTTTTTTTCATTTTCATATGAGCAAATATAAACAAAAGCAATAAATATGTTATCAAATGGCGTATATGAGTTTTGAATGCACTAGGAGAAACTCGCATGTTAAAAAAACTCTCATTAATTTTTCAAAAGTTTTAATTGAAATTAATCAAAATAAAAAAATTTTTAGTAATATCATTTGATGTTATATATATATTCGTTTGCATGAGCATATAAAATGTATCCATTTGTGGCATCCAGCTGATAATACAGTTTCATTATAATAAAATTAAATTTCAATAAGAATAAAAGCTAGTTTAGCTGGTCTAATATCGATCATTTTAAAAAGAAATAAATAGGATCTATAACAAAGCTATGATAAATTTATCATAGAAAAAAGAATTTGAATATTTGAAAAAATGACAACAATTAATTAATTATTTTTTTTTCGTTCTACTATTTATTATAGAATCAATGGATTATAAAGCATGCATATCTTCCAAAAAAGAACTTTATAACTCATTGATCACCTTTATTGAAAATGATGGCAAGAATGATAATAAAAATCTTTTTCAAGAAATAATAAATATTATTCAGAAACAAAAAATTCTAGAAACGTCTGAAGAATCAAAAATATTACTTCAATTAATATTCACAATATCAGTAAATCATCGACGAGTTCCAAATTTTATCGATCAACTCATCCAAATACTTCAATATGTAACTGAAAATATTAAACCATCCATCCCAAGTACAGAATTATTTAATATTTTCCAGCATGACAAACTCTTGCTATACTATCTTTTCAAAACTAATATAATTCAAGTTAATGATATCATTGTAAACACGATTGTTCAAGAAATGGACAATTTGCCGACCAGATATCTCCACTTTTTCTATCCTCATATCAAAGATCATCTTGAATCCAAATTGAAGGAAGATATTGAAAAACGACTTTTTGAGAGCTGTGCATACAATTTTTCAGAATTTGAGTCCAAATGTCAACAAGGCGAAAACGACTCGTTTTTATGTGAATTGATTCGGAATGACAGCATTGATGAGTTTGTCACATATGCAACGAAGAACAATCTTTCATTATCAAGTCATATAAGTTCTTCACTTTTTGAGACAAACCGATTTTTACTTGACAAAAATCCGACATTGATTGAGTATGCTGCATTCTTTGGCTCGATTCAAATTTTCAACTTTTTGAGAATGAACTATGTGGAAGTGAGTGGTTCGAACAAGATATCATCTGAATTATCCTTCAAATAGCTGAATATGCCTTTCAGATTATTATTTGCATAAAATATTTCCTTCCATTTAGGCTTCTCAACTTTTTGATGGTATATATGGTCGCTAAATTCAATTTCGTTTTCACTTTTTTCAACCATTTTTATCGACAATGAGAGCCAAGTACTCGATATTGAACATAGATAGAAATTCAATCATTGCCTGATTGCTTACATTTCTGAAGTAAATGTATTCATACAATTTTGAATATTCAGAATTTTGTGAGCACAGTTCATTTAAAAAGTGCAAAAGTTGATCTTCTGACTCAAGTTCGAGTTTTCTACTTGAAATTATTTTTTCTAGAATATCTTCATTTTTTAAAAAATTCTTTCATTTGCTCTTCATTCAATTCATAAAAGTGCGAAGAGAGAAAATCGGTTTCTTCTGAAATATTTTTTGAATAAAAAATCTTTTGTTTTTGGTGTTCTGAAAGCAAATCTAATACGTTGTCCATTGTGATCGTGGGTGTGACTATATTTAAATCAAGCCCTTCGTTCGCTCGAGCTTTGGTTCCTTGTTGTGTTCTGGAAATGAAATAGCTCTTTTTTGCTTCTAAAAATTTAATCTACTTGGGCCAAACCGTTTTATTTTTTCTTATTTGGACATATTCCCAGAAAAAGTGGGCGGCTTTTTGAATAGGCTGTTCCTTCTTCCAAAAAAATTTATGCGCATTCAAAAAGTTTCATTAATATTTCAACTCAAAAAATCGTTTTTTTTATGGAAAAAAAAAAAAAAAAACGTTAAAAAGACGTTTAAGGTAATAAAAAACTTAAAAAAAGTCTAAGCTAAAATTATAATTATAAATATTATTTTTTCTTTTGGATTTTAGCTTTGATTCATTTCCCTAACTCTTCGTATATGATTTTTAGTAATATTGCTTAAAAAATCTTTCAAATATGGATATAATTCCTCATAAAATTTATCTGTACAACGTTGCATTTGACGTGTAATTTTCAAATCCAATGATGGAACATTTTTTGCAACCTCTAGGAAAATTATCGTTATTATTTTTGGTGAAACATGAGTGCCAAATATTTGTTTTAGTGCTTTTTCTACTTCTTGCCTTTTTATGCTTTGAGAAATCTTGGAAACTTTATAACCAGAAATCTCAAAGATTTTTTGGGTTCCAAATGTATAAGACAAGTTTTGATTATCAATCCCCAGATTGATCTGAGGAGCATGTTTCAAATCGGGTTGCCTTGGTGTATCTTGAAATAATGCATTTTCAACGTATGGAGGAGATTTTGTATTGTTTAGAGATTTTATTTGAATGGAGGTATTATCTGGAGGTTTATGTTGATGCTTTTTTTGTTTCATTGATAAATTCATAATATGTTTTTCTTTCAAAAATTCGATTTCGCTTTCTTGATCATCAGAATTGTCATTTAAATCATCACTTAATATTATTTGTTGGCCTTCATAAGGTGTTTGATGCAATATTTTATCTATTTCTCTTTCTCTTTCTTCTTCCTCATTTTCTTTAGTATGATATTGCTCTATTAAAGAAAAATTTTTATCATTCATGCTAAATAAGAAAATAAAATCTTGAAAAATTTTCAGAAGTTTACACGAAAATTTTTATTCAAATTATTTTAATGCTTTATCTGATGTTTATTATTGAAAATTGTTATTATTATCATAATTTAATAAACTAATAAAAATTTATTAACTGAAATTATAATTTATAACTTCCAGATATGTTTATATTATTAATAAAATTAAAGATTACTAAATTCTTTGAAAATTGTGACAAAATTCCATACCCGTTTTTTGCATACCGTGCTCTCAATTTTCCGGGGGAATTTTTGACACTTATAAATGGTCGATATTTATTGAATATTTTTTTTCAAAATATGTTTTGTCACCTTTGAATTGTTTTCTCCAGATTTTTTTCATTCATATCTTCATAATTTTATTATATTAACAAATATTTTTTGTTAAAAATTTGTTAATAAATATTCATTAGATTAGAAAAGCAAATATATTTACTTATAAAAATCCATATGGCTATTTAATTATTTTTTTAAAAAAATCTTTTGTTTCAAAATTAATAATAATATTTATACTATAAATTTGAATAAGTATTGCCACTTATAAATAAAAAATTGATATTTTAAAGATTTCGTAAATCCCTATAGTTGGTCGATTAAAAAAGTGACAAATAAATAAAGGAAATAAAACAGATTCTCCAAAAACTTCTAATTTTGCCCGTGCTAGCACGTACTCAATTTTATTTGTTTTCTACAAGATTTACTTAGTCTAATTGGTTCTTCCTTATCTTTTTATGAAATTCAAACAAATTATCTTTGAGAAGATTATCTCTCATGCTTTTCAATCTTCAATTTCTAACTTATAATGCTTGCGTTTTGCTCAGTTTTACTTATGTTTTCTTGCAACTGCTTACTTTCTTACAAAACTAGCATTGAGAAGATTATCTCTCATGCTTTTCAATCTTCAATTTCTAATTGATTATACTTGCATTTTGCTCAGTTTTACTTATGTTATCTTGCAACTGCTTACTTTCTTACAAAACTAGCATTGAGAAGATTATCTCTCATGCTTTTCAATCTTCAATTTCTAACTTATAATGCTTGCGTTTTGCTCAGTTTTACTTATGTTATCTTGCAACTGCTTACTTTCTTACAAAACTAGCATTATTTAATGAAATTAGTTCAAAAAGTTTAATACACCAAAAAGCATACAAAAAGTTTGGGAAAATAAATTTCAAAAAGTTCTTTACACCAAAAAGCATACAAAACGTTTGGGAAAATAAATTTCAAAAAGTTCTTTACACCAAAGAGCATACAAAACGTTTGGAAAATTAATTTCAAAAAGTTCTTTACACCAAAAAGCATACAAAAAACAATCTAACGCAGCATCTCCAAAAATACACAAATTCAAACTACAGCATTTGCAAATACACCAAGATCAAAGCAAAATATATTAAATAGTTTTTTTTTATAATTCAGCAATATTTTCAACCAAATGAATTATGTGATTGTTCTCAGTTTGCATATTCAAAGTAATAATTTATTTAAACTATAATTTTGCCTTAACTTTTTTATTATAAAAGAACAAAAAATTCTTTTTTTATAAGTAATAATTTATCTTAAACATTATTTTTGTATAATAAAAATATTTCATGTAAATAATAATTTCCATTGTGCTTGATTTTATGTGTTATATGATTAGAATTTTAAATAATCATGAATTTCAAAATTACAATACTCTGATGTCGAAAACCAATTTATTGAAAATTAGACAAATCAAGACTTTATCATATATACTATCTAATCGATCTGAAATAAATGATGAATACCATTTATATGGTTGAGAATTTTTGATATAATAGATAAAGATAAAAGGAGCTATACGAGCTAATTACATTTTCGTATTCAGAATTATATGTGTGATTATTTTATCAAAGAGGAAACAGTCGAAATAAAGTAGGTTTTCTTAAAAAGTAGAATAATCAATGATTAATGAAAACTTTTTGAATAAAACAAAAAATGGTGGATAACCTGAATAATAGCTTTTGTAGAGAATGTCTTCCAAAATCTGATGCAAGTCTTATATTTGCTTTTCATAAAAGTTATTGAATTATTATCAAAAAAACAAAATATCATTTTTTCTAAAAATTCAAAAGAGCATCATGAATTGAAGTAGCAGCATGTACTGATTTTATGGCCAAAATATCCTTTCATCAACTTATGCCTATTGCTGGAA